TGGCTGACAGGCAGGGCTCAAGGGCTTGTGGTAAATGGGGCCACATCAGGCTGGCGCACGGTCACTAGTGGGGTCCCTCAAGGCTCCATTTTAGGGCCGGTCCTCTTCAATGTTTTTATAAACGATTTAGATGTAGGACTAGAAGGTGTTTTGAGCACATTTGCTGATGGCACCAAACTTGGAGGAGTTGTAGACTCAGATGAGGGGCTGAGTGTGGAAAGGCCTTGCAGAGAGATCTGGACAGATTGGAGAGCTGGGCGATCACCAACCGCATGAGGATTAACAAGAGCAAGTGCCGGGTCCTGCACCTGGGACGGGGCCACCCTGGCTATATGTACCGACTGGGTGACGAGATGCTGGAGAGCAGCCCCGCAGAGAGGGATCCGGGCGTGGTGGTTGACAGCAAGTTGAACATGAGCCAGCAGTGTGCCCTGGCAGCCAGGAGGGCCAACCGTGTCCTGGGGTGCATCAAGCACGGCATTGCTGGTCGATCGAGGGAAGTGATTGTCCCGCTCTACTCTGCGCTGGTGCGGCCTCACCTCGAGTACTGTGTGCAGTTCTGGGCACCACAGTATAAAAAGGACATGAAACTGTTGGAGAGTGTCCAGAGGAGGGCGACGAAGATGGTGAAGGGCCTAGAGGGGAAGCCGCATGAGGAGCAGCTGAGGGCACTGGGCCTGTTCAGCCTGGGGAAGGGGAGGCTAAGGAGGGACCTCATTGCAGCGTACAACTTCCTCGCGAGGGGGAGTGCAGAGGCAGGTGCTGACCTATTCTCCGTAATCACCAGTGACAGGACCCACGGGAACGGTGTTAAGCTGAGGCAGGGAAGTTTTAGGCTGGATGTCAGGAAGAGGTTCTTCACCGAGAGGAGGGTGGTTGCACGCTAGAACAGGCTCCCCAGGGAACTAGTCACTGCACCAAGCCTGTCTGAATTTAAGAAGCGATTGGACTGTGCACTTGGTCACGTGGTCTAAACTTTTGGGTAGACCTGTGCGGTGCCTGTTTTTTAACAGGCTCTGTACTAATTTTGCTCACAGAATGACTAACAGAAATATGAGCTTTGTGCAAATTTTGTATTTAATTCATTATGTCAACTGTAACCACTAAGCCACTTGTCAGGTTATTTCTACAAGTGATAAGGAGCAATAGACCTTAAAACCTTGAAGCCAGGTAGACGAGCTTATTCCACAAGGTCTCTTGGCTTCACCCTTGTTAAGTGCAACCTGCCAGGTGTGGGTCATTTGTCCTTTGTTATATAGGAAGCCTGAGGACGGGTGGGGGAATTGCCTCCCCAGGAGAAACTGAGGCTTGGGTAGCCTAGGGTGTTTTTCTCTCGTGGTGAATCGGGCTCAGTGTTCCCTACTAGGCTGCTTTTCGTTCAAGTTTTCTGCCCTCTCTGTGAAATAGCTTTAGAGACTCTATGAGCCAGTTACATTGGTGGTGCCTTCTTCAGAAGAACCCTGGTGGGACTATTTCACTGCGAAGCACGTTGGAAGTGACTCGAGTTCAGGAGACAGCAGGTAAGAGTTCCTGGGTTCTGTGGTTGTTACTGTTGAGGAGTTTGAGTACTTCCTTCACCTTGTCTGTATCCTGTGAAATTACATAGGTGGCTTCTAAGCTCCCTTTTAAGTACTGGAGGAAAACAAAAAGGCTGCAGAAGCCCAAGTGCACACAGGTCAGCCTGAAGTTGAACAAAATTCTTAAGTATTTGAAAGATTGAAAAACGAGCTGTGGGAAGAGGCGCCGAGTCGCTGGGGCGCCGAGTCGCTGGGGGCCGAGTCGCTTCAGACACTTCTGAAGTTTGGTATAGATGCTACACATTTAGTGACGTGCAAGCAAAGAAAGCTGCTTTATGAGTGGTGATAGAAAGTCGCACCACCTCTTTGCTACAGCTTTCACAAAGAATCCCGTAGATCCTGCTGGCCCCCCAGCTTGCCTTGCACAAGGTGAGTTGGCCTCACCTTGTACAGCAGCCGTGGCATGCAGAGCAGCAGTGTGAGACCCTGCTGAGATAAGCACTCACCTGGACTGCACCCTTCTGGGAAAATCAGTGTTTGGACTTGGATGGTTCTCCTGTCTTTGAGCTGTGGTTGTGCAATCCTGTGTAAGTCAGCAGAGGGCGGTCCTTTAACAGCAAGGCTTCAAATTAAGCGTCAGTAAGCACTAATCTACTGCTACCCAGCTGCAGTATGCTTCCTTCACAGGTGTGGAGAAGACAACAATAAGCAGTTTCTTGTTGACAGTGCCTCTGACATATCCAGCATTAGGTGACACAAGTCAATAGGTAGGACAGATGGCACAGAAGGAGTGACAGTAGTAGCTAAGGTCTGCTAAACCTCAGTTGACAACAGAGTCCAAACAGTGCTGTTCTTGCCATATCCAGCCTTGCATGTAGAGTGCCAGTGCTTTAATCAGGCTACTTTTGGGGCACCAGATGTGCAGTGTATAGCTAAGGAAAAGGCAAGCGTTGTCTAACCAGATTATCAAATACGTAGGTTTTTCCCATTCTTGCTTGACATTATGCATGAGCTACACAGAAAGCACTGCTTGAGGAATTCTTCACTTCTGAACCCAGAGCAGTCTGTGCCTTGGCTTTGTTATCAAGAAGGGTAAATGCGCAGATGTGATTCCAGGGCTGCATCCTTTTTATTGTCGTTATTTTAAATCTTGAACCGCCTTAAAATACCACAGTTTTACCTCACAGAAATTGCAAAGTGAGGAAACTGAAGACGTAAAGGCATTTATAACCCCTTTCCTCCCAGCAAAATATGTCTGCATCTGGGTTATGGAGTCCTGTGGGTTCACTGCAGGAATGCAGGCTACTATCCAATGAAGTGAAACGATGGGATTAATCACCTGCTTAAAGTCAGTCACTTAGTTAAGTGTTTTTCTGGGATAGGCCCCTTTGAAGGTGATAAAAAGGCCCACGGTTAACCAGTGAAGGCAGTTCTAAACGGGATTATTTGCTAATGATAATGAGTGTCTTTTTACTTTGGATGGTTCATAAGAAATTAAATCCTAAACCTGCTTCTAACCCTTCAGTTTGTCTCAGAGGCTTTCAGAGACGATTCCAGAGTCCCATAAATAGGGTTCTGGTTCTTATATTAGTGTCAGCTACAGGCTGATGTCTATTACCCAAAAAATTGATTGTCCCTTAGTGCATCTTCCATGTCACAATGCTACTGATAAGTGGGGAAGATTCTGCTGTTAGTCTATTATGATGTCCCTTGCAAATCTTGTTTTCTTGTAGTCTGTTCTATCCATCTGACCTAGGGAAGGAGCTGGCAGGAGAGCTGCTTCACCCGTGTTGGTTATACTTTCCAGTGTATCTCCTTGCTGTTCACCATGAGCTGGTGCTGTTGCTCACCCTCTGATCAGCCAGGCAGGTGCAGATGTCTCTGATGACTTGGAAAGCTGGAATGGATGTCATTAAGATTTTAACTGTCTAGAAAGTCATGTAAATAGGTAAATATACATATATATATATTTTTTTCTGTTATCTTGGGTTGCCAGTCCAAGCTTTTTTTGTGGGAACATTTGGATTTCCAGGGTGAAAAGATTTGTCATATTCCATCATCCTTCCTTCCCTTCAAATCTCGGGCTGCAGGTCAAAGTAGCCTGGACAGCTGTTCACACACACCCTGATATTGTGGTTTTCTCTATCAGCACACACAATGCAAAGCACTGAAATCCCCTTGTGGTTTCTGATATGTCATCAATTCTGTGCTTGCTCTGAGGACATTTCAGGCTTTTTTTTTTTTTTTTTTTTTTTTTTTTTTTTTTTAAAGCTGGTAGTCAAAGGCTGATACAGGCTGGAGGTAGTTTGGCATCAGCTGTGAGTTCTCTTCTGGCTGTGAACTCCATGTTGTTTTAGGAGCTTTACATTATTTTTTGTTTGTTTGTGTGCTTGTGTCTGTGCTGTTACTTAGGTTTTATTGAAATTTCCTTTTAGGTTGGGTAGACCATAAAGCCTGGTTAGTAGCAGAGTACATTTCTACATTCAGGCTGTCAATTTTGCCTCTCCTCAGAAAGAGGAGTTCCCTGCCTGTACCTTGATGAATGCAGGGTGACAGACAACGGAAGCAGGAAGAGCTATCCTAAAGACAACCTTGGACTGCAGCGAAGACTATTTCTTCAGAAAACCTGGTGTTCATTGCAGTTCCTGTGCTCCCAGTAAATGCACGTGCACGTGCCTGGGAAAAAGGCAGCCGATCTGTCAGCTGTAACCCATCAGATAGAGAGCCTGGTGCTGGGTGCTCTTGTTGGAATCTTCTAAAGGCAAAGGAGAGGCTGCTGATGCTTACATGGAAGAAGGCAGCAGCCTAGGCATTACTAAGTTATACACTGAAAAAATATTTTACTAAACTGTTTTTTGAAAAATGAAACTGGGATCTGCATTTTTTTTTTCTGAAAAACCATCACTGGCCTTTCTTCCCCATGCAAAATGAGATACAAGTCTTGCAACCTTGGGCTCTTTGCAGTTATAATAACTGTTATAATTTTGTTGCAGTGATGCTGTGGCTGCTGTTATCTTGCCTTAGTACTCCTTGTGCTTGAAACTCATATTCTGATGTTCGAGCTTCCTGAGAGGGAGTCAGAGCTTTCTGCATGTTGTTTTCATGTGATGTGTCCTTCCCATTATTTCTGTTTTCCTTTTGTTTTCATGCTTAGCTCCAAAAATCAGCCTCACTCTTTGCTGGTCTTCCATGGCTTCTTAGCTCATTTGAGTGGGATGCTGATGTGCAACTGATCAGACGCAGCTCCTCACTGGCACCACACCAAGCTCATAACCTTACTGGAAAGTTCTTGCTTCTGACTGCATAAACAAGGGTGGGTGCTCTAGGGATGATTTTATTTTAAGTGACCCATCACAACGCTGCTCTTAGCCCTTTGGCAAATGTTCTAGTTCTCAGAGCTCTTCCTATCTAGCAAACCAAAGACAGAAAGGCACTGCTGTAAGTGCTGGTCCTTGATCAGACGTGCTGTGCTGGCTCATGCTCTCCTGTGGTGCCCAGGCTGCCCAAAGCAACCGCTTGGGCTCTTCCCTGCAGGCAGCATGAAAAAGGCTGCCCTGTTCTAGGACAAGCAGCCATACACACACAAGCTATGCTGTGTTCCCTGTCCTGTCACAGCCAGGTGACTGAGCACTGTTGCCATAGCCCGGCTCATCACAGTGCGGTTGGTGGGGTTGTGTAATGTGGCACTTTAGCTGGCAAAATCTCTGCAAGAATGTGCATGGGTGAAGGGATAAGGAAGTGAACCTCAGTGCTCTGCAGCTGGAATTGTTTTTCAGAAAGCTTATTGCTTCTTCAGAAACAATTTAGACAAGATTTGGAAAAGCCTAGTGAAAGGATATTTGTGAAATGTTAATTCTCCACCTAATAGCCCCATTCTTTTCCTGTCCCTCATCTAGTAGATATTTTACATTAAAGGATAAACTTTTAGATTTGTTTTGCCTCTGGTGTAGAAAATCAGAGCAATGCTTAATATGAAATGGTGTCTGCTGCCCCTTCAGTGAACTGCTAAAAAGCAGAACAATAACTCTCTTGCATGCTTTAGAAGTCACAAATAACATTTTAAATGGTTTGGATCATAATGGCTGTATTCATTGCCCCCCTACAGACTGGCTCTCACAATCTAACCGATTTCTCTATATGTTGTGTGACTGACAGCGTGCCTCTAATTCCAGTGGAGTCCTTGTGAGTAGTATTTAATCAGCCATATGGCACAATATGTGTAAATTCCTTAACGCTGTGACTACAGGGCAGCTCTATTCCATTCAATATTTTACTGCGCAGACAAAACACACAATAAAAAATAAGCAAACGCATTAAAATAAAGGTATTAAGGTGCAAAATATATATTAAAAAAAAAAAAAAGTCAATGGATCTCTCTGCCTTTATTGTAATTTCAAAATCACCATCCTGGGAACAATGCACGGTGCTAAAGCAAGCGGGACCGGGAATTAATCTCACTTCTAAGGACCCTTCCTTCTACCCCCGCTGCTTTTCTTGCTTTTGCAGCCAGGGAGCTGGGCTCACGGCCGCTATCATCACAA